AGGACAATGGAGAAGTTGTCAATGCGACTGAGGAATGTTGTGAGAGGTGTGGTGAATGGTGAGGGGATGTAGTGGAGGGCGTTCATTGTGAAGTCACAGTTGCCATCGTCATTGTGCCGAGTGAGGGGGAGGGGTGGGTGGTGGAGGTGATATTTGAGTGGACCAAATAGACGACGTCGCATGTAAGGGAATAAGTTGGACGACGTTCGCACACGGGCGAAAGTGAGTGGAAGAGGAGGAGGAGGAGGGTTGCTTGTGGTTGAGATTGTCAATTGTTCTGTATACTGTTCTGTTTTAACTTTATAATCACTCTCTTGACAACCGTTATTTTTTCTTGTGGGATAATATTTTCTCTCTCCTTTTTTCTTGTCCGACGTGTTGCGCTAAATCTTCCCTTGATTGCTGCCTCACCGAAATCTTTTCTCACTTCCTCTGCTTCTGATATTTCACATTTCGAACTGCTTGTCTTTTGTTTCTGTTCCATTTTCTTAAACACCTGTATGCAATTTTGGTAATTCCTTTTCGGAATCGGTGGTGACGTGTCTAAGCTCTGTTCATCCCCTTCAACAAACAGTTCATTTTCTTATTTCAATTGCCAAGATTTTTGTCCAGAGCTGTTAATGATTAACTCTGACAATTACTTTTTGACTGCTACTTGACAGGCCTACATTGCACGCAATCTCTGCCATATGCGGTGTAATGACCCGATCATATTTCATCATGATTTTGGAATAATTAATGTCATGCCTACGGAATTAGGGTGCATGTCGACGTTCTCGCCATTTTCAACACTCAAACATTTCGGAAGACGCCTTCATATTTGCGTTTTTACTGTTGGTTGCCTTGAAGTGACTGCCATTGCGGAGCTGCAGGTGTCAGTGCCGTCACTCGCATTGTCTTCGGTGTTATGCTCTTCATCTGGAAGTCATTACATTTTGCTAAATGTGTTCCGTCACCTCCGTGTTAAAAGGTATTGACAAGCGCTGTGAGGTGCTGCAGAAGCACTTGTTTTGGAGTGCCTTCCGCCATGGAATCTCTTGTCCACCATAAAAGTGGGAGTACGGGAGGTGATAGTCTTCAGCATTGCGTCAGTCTTGAAACTCACTCGTTAGAAGGCATAGTAATGGAAGCCTTGATTATTTGACTGTCTCGAGGCTTGCACAGATGGTCGTGGCTAAACCCATTTTCTTTACATTGTCCTTCCTGGTGTCAGCAAAGAAACCTTCCATTTCCGCTTTCCAGAGGCTCAATAATGCAGCGCATCATCGAAGAGAAGCGCCGTCAACGAACCGTCTCTATTGGCAGTCTGGACGGCATGGTGATTACGAGGGATAACGAGCTGATTGCCGCACCACTGGTAGCGGATCGACCACCCCTCCTCACAGCCGCATCAATTACTCGCATCTCCGAGGCTGTGATGCGCAAGATGGAAGCCCGTCTCGCCGGCTGCCAAGAGAGCGGTGGTGGTGGTGGCGGGGTTTGTGGAGGTGGTGAAACGCCGGTGAGATGTGACTCCAACGTCTCACAGCCTTCCTTGTCCAGAAAGTCATCCACCCTGGTGAATTCCTTGCATGCTACTGGGGTGAGTCTGGTACCATCTTCAGGTGTGCAATTGTTCCTGCATCGCAAGGTGCCTAGTGTGAGGTTGGGATTCTAATTTCTTTTTTTGGTTTTGAGATCCAAGCTTTTTATTCGCTACTCTGGTGGTCGGTTTGGCACTGGAGTTGATTGCATTCTCAATCACTGTCAAAACTGTCGTCATAGCACTCCAAATGTCCTTTCTAGCAAACTTCCGTTTTCCCACTCCTCTGCTTTCGAATGGTGTTATTACCCTTTCTGTAAACTAAAATAAGTTGTTACCGTGTTCGATAAGCTTGAGGTAACTTGACGGGACTTGTAACGTCACAAAGTGCACCTTATCACCCCACCTCCCTTTCGTCCCAAACTCTCATGCCAGTTAGCACAAACAGATTAGAATGCAGTCTCTGTAGGCGTCTGTTCGTGGGACCTTTCCCATATTTTAGGAAATTAGTTGTGAACCTGCTCATGTCTATCGTAAGGAAGTACAGGAAGTATAAGCGGTAAATGATGACTAGACTTGCCCTGTTGATGATGTTACCGTAGTCCTCTTTATCCCGGAATGTCGTTATCACATTTTTGGAACTGCGATGCTACTTATTATGGATGTTAGTAGCAACGTAAAATATTTATAGTTTGAACCCCCTCAAATTCTAGCACTTCTATTATTTATACCTATAGCATTTTATTTTTTTCCACATGGTCTTTGAAATTTATGCCTTTATACCTTTTTTTCGGCTCTTGCGGTTCAGTTGTCCCGACTTAACCTCGTTCGCGAGAGCCTTCCTCATCTGATTCAAGGCTACGTTCAATCCCAAGCCTCCATTGCAGTGCAGAACTACATAGCCAAGCAGCATCATCAGTTGCTAGCTCAATCTGGAGCCACCCCGACCTCGATTGTTGCATCTGGTGCTGCCACGGTTGCTGCAACGGCAGGTACTGCCAATCCTGGCTTTGACGCTACCGCCTACCTTGCCAATTCCCGGATGCGCTCCATTAGCAATGCCAATAGCATTTGTCCCACGGCTGGGAGTAATACACCACAAACGCAGAAGGTGAGCTGAGTAACTCTCTTGAGAGGTGACCTCTTAAAGCCCTTTTAGTGGGTTACAGATTGAGAATACTATGGTTCGACTGCACTTCAATGAATTTCAAAGCAATCACACTACTCGGAAAAAAAATCTCGTTTTATCGTATCACTGCATTGACTATTAGGTTACACTGCTGAGTTTCGCTTTATTAGTAGTTATGGAAAACATTCACATGAATGATTTGTCATACGCGTGGTTGCAGAGTGAGCACGAGTGTCAAAAATTTCCTATTCTTTGAGTAAGGCCACACGCTACTAATTTTTACCATTTAAGTAGCAAAACGCTTCTAAGGATTGTATAGAGGTCTGAATCGCCAGCCTCCGAAGTTGGGAATGTATGCGCGATAGGGATTTTTGTTATTTGGAATTATGATTATGTTACTGGTACGCTCCTCGTGAGGTGGTAAGTTACCGAGACGGAATTGGGTCAGGTGCCTATCCCATCTAAACAAGCCATTATCATCTAAAAATTTGCTTCTGCTTTGCCTTTTGCTTGGATGTGTGTGTGTGCGCGGCTGTAAGTGTGAGTGATGGGTTGCATGCAAGTGGTGTCATTCTTTGTACCCACGCGCAAACTACCAACACCGACCAGGCTCGTGCGTTGTCTTCGTTGTTACAAAGTCGGGAGTTGACGGTAGCAACAGTGGAGGTGCCGTCGCCAGTACCACTGCGTCGTTTCTTTGTCCCCTCTTCCGCCTGTGCCTCGGAGGTAGGTTGGTTGTCTGATCCTGTTGGAATGCGTTGTTCGCTGCCGCTTTGAGTTGCTTTGCTTGCATGTTTCAGTTTATTAATGAAGATAATTTTTCGCCCTTGATCAGCTAGTGGAATTTATTGCAGTGCAAGGAATTTCCCATTTATTTGCATAGCTGACCAACATTTCCACGTTGTGTTACTTAAGCTTTTCGGCATGCCAAGGGAGAATACGATGGAAGTGATTTGTTGCTTACTCTTGAGTGATCGCCTTGGCAAGAGTTTCTTCGCTTTATGCCTTGCTTTCCCTTGGCTTCGCCATCTGGTTGTACCATTTAAAAGAGGTATGGGAAGCCGATGAGGAATTAATCGGTCTCCCTTTGCTTCAGACATCTTCGAGCTACTTCACAGTCGTACCCAAGGAAGTTAATTATCCTAATCTTTGTTATCCCCTCTAAGCATGAGTTTTTAGTACGTACCCAGTGGCTTAAAGAGGCCACTAGTTGCTATAGTATATAGCTGTAGTGAAAATTACAAATGCTACTTAAATAAACCATTTAAGTAGCGACTGCTTACGTTTGCAAACTCAAGTAACATTGCTTACGTTACTAACCTAGTCAGTAACTTAAACCGAACATACAAGGTGCTACCTATTTCCAGTGTCTCAGTCTTCGGCGAACCATTTCGGATGCCAGTATTACGTCTTCTAATCGGGGAATACAGGTGCCCTTGGAGATCCAGCAGGAGGTGGCCGAACTTCTGGATGGAGAGGTGCGCACTGAGGTGCAGCACAGGCTGCGGCGTGAGATGATGCGTCCACAGTACAAAAAGGACCTCTTTTTTACCGGCTCAGCTCTGCAGTTGAATCACACACCTGTGCCTGCAATCCCTCTTGGCGATGCTAATAATGTCTGGGTGAGTGGCTGTCGTTGTGTTTGCTTGATTCAATAGACGTCCTCTCATGCTCTATCTACGCCTCGCCGCGTAGGCCACTCGTGATCAATCAAACTGGGACATTGGTCCCACTTCAATCACCACCCACAACCCACCTGCCACTCCCAATGCCACCATCTCCACGCGTGGCTTCTGTCCAGAAACAGACAGCACCACAACAGCTGTAGGCCTCGCCAATGTCGCCGCCGTTGCCGCTACCGTCGAACCTAAGTACTCCATCACCTCAGTAACAAGCTCAGTGCAACAGCAGCACCATAATCACCCAAGTCAGCAGCTGCTGCAGAAAGTATCGCAGACGGGAAGCAAGTGCGCCGGCGATACAATGCGTGTTGCGATGGACTACGACGACGATGGAGAAGACGTCATTTCCATCGGGCTTCCAACCGGCAGGAGACCCTGCTGTTCAAACCCAATCTTAACCTTTCTGGAGGAGTTGCTGGCACCCGGGCTGCTTCTCAGTCCAACCTTTATTTGTCTCCTCTTGTCGAATATTTTTACAATGTGGGGTAGGTGAAATGCAAGGCTTTGAAGTGCTCCTACTTCCGCACTTTATCTATCCGTTCCCCCTTCCAAAAGTAACTAACTTTAAATATGAAATATTAGGTAGAGAGTGACTTCTCTTTTCTTTAAAATTGCTGGCAACTGCCCTAGGTCTCATCACTCCTTACTTCATGCTGCCCGATCTGGTAGCGGCGAACAACTGGACACCGCACGAAGCCGGCTCTCTCATCTCCTACATCGGCTTTGCCAACACTATTGGTCGGTGCATTGCTAGTAAGTCATCCTTCCATTGTCTCCCCGATATACGTTCTACTTTTGTTGCCTTCCAAGCCCTCACCTACGCTTCCTTCTCTTCCTTTCAGCTCTGTACATTGAAAAAGGTGAGTGTGTCTTATCTTTGCTGCTGGTTATTTGTTTGATTTTTGAACGAAGGCCACTGGTGGATGGTACGGTCGAGTCACGTATGTGTAAGTGTTCATACTTCCCATTTCCTCTGAAAGGAGATTGGTTGATCCGTGTGGAAATATCACGGAGGTGATAAGACTGTTGGCTTGAGGTACTTGAAAGCACATTAAAGGCTCATTTGTTGATTGACTGACCTGTATTTGACCGGATTTTCTCACCTTCACTTAGATCAGGATTTTCCTAAGGCACTTTCATAACACTCCTGTGTTTTGGTCATACGGATAAGCCTTCTTTGTGCGTGTCCAAGGCGGACGAAGTGTGGCTGACATAGAATGCTAGGGAGGAGGTGGGAGTGAACCAATTGTCGTTCTTACGCCAACGGTCCCCTGCCTTTTCGCATGGCGCTGGCCAATAAGGCCAGGAAAGTGAGTGAGGCGTTAGACCGTCTCCTAGGTTCACTGGTTCAGCCCTACCTACACAGCATAGCACAATTTAAGGGTGCGTGAGGTAATATTTTTCCCCACTTGGAAGGAAAGCTACATTCCTTGCTTCTATGCGACAGGCTAATGCACCATCCATGGAGGAGAGCGATTCTTTTAAATGATTTGTGTTGCCTTTTCTCGAGTCTAGGTGATTCCATGGTCACCTTGTGTCCCCTAGAGAAAGCATTTTAAAAGTGTTTGGTGAGTCTTTCGAAATATGCATGGTCCAGTCATTGAACCTCACCTTCAGCTGACCTTCATCTTTGGCTTTGCCTCTCAGTGGACAAAAGAGGATACTTGAAGGTTTGTTTTGGCCACATAAAGCTCATTGTTTTCCCCTCCAGCCTTCAAAATGGTTTATGCAAACACCCAGCGAAGTGGAGAGGTGTTTTTCAGCAGGTGCAATCAGAATTGAGGCTTGTTTGTCAACGAACAACTGCCAGTGCTGTGAATGGCTATCTGGGGGGCCTCGCAAAGCTCACAACAATACTCTCGTCCTCTCTTAGGTTTGCGTACTTAACCTCGCGGCTCCTTCCGTCCTACTTCCAACTCTGAATGGCTTCGGCATTTTAAAGTTGCTTTGATGAGGGTTTTTAAAGTATGGGAAAGGGAGGGCTTCTACTTTATTGTACTCACGGTATCGGTTTTGCCTTTCTAACCGTTTGATCATGAGTTCATCCCTGTTTCTGCATTGTCACTGCGTGGCTTCGTCCACCAGCTTGGTCTAGTCACTACAAATGGGCGGACTGTCTGCGTGTTAACGTGGCGTCCCTCCTTCTGGCTGCTGTGGCTTGTGAGTTAGCATCACTGATGGGGCGTAGCTACAACCTCCTCATCTGTGCCGGCTGTCTCTTCGGCCTCTTCTCCGGTGCGTTTTCATTTCTCCATCTCCCTCTCCCCCTTGCATCCATTGCCAAGCATTTAGTTTCTTACCTATCAGATTCTGCAATTTTTCGACCATGACCTTCATGTCCACCACTAGCTATACAAAGTGGCTTAATGATAAGAGGCTTGATCTTCATTTCTTTCTACCTCTCGACCACGCTTTTGCTCTGTAGCCGTGGTGGTCTCCCTCAAAAGCATTCTTGTGGTGGAGCTCTTTGGACTAGACAAACTCACCAACGCCTTTGGTCACATGCTTGTCCTGCAGGGCGTTGCTAGCATCGTTGGCACGCTCATCGGTGGTACGTTTGCTCAACAACAACAACAACAACAGCAACAGCAACGAGAACTGAAAGATGGGTCAAGTGGGCACACTGCTCTTTTCCTTCCTCCACAGGCCAACTCTTCGACACTTTTGCCTCCGGAGTACCCACGTTCGTTCCATGGGCTCATCGAGGCCCTGGTCCTGTCTACGCCGCAGAAACCAGTTTCCACTTCGCTAGCTGTAGTTTCTTGCTTGCTGCGCTGTTTGCCAGTCCTTTGCGCTGTCTGGCAAGACGGGAGGTGATCTCGGCGACTTACACCACAACAGGACCGGGAGTTGTTGGAGCAGGGGGAGGTGGCGTCTATGTGGACGACTATTTTGAATACGGCGAAGGCGGAGCAGCAGGAGGAGGAGGAGGAGGAGGAGGAGAAGATGGGTCAGTTATTGTTGGAGCTGCTGCTTTTCTTCCAGCACCACCTCCTGTCACTGAGCCTGGCACGGGAAACACATCGGAATCCGCAGTGAATCTCATCCAGTCACCGGCACCGCCACAATTGCCGCCACCACAATCACCACCAACGTCACTTCAACCGCCTTTCGACTCCGGGATTCCAAACTATGCTGGTGAGATGGTGGTGGCACCTGTAGGTGTAACCGCGACAGTGATGGAAGCTGTGGAACCTCCTCTGCCACCTCCACCTCCTCCTCAATCGAGTATTCCAGATCCTGCAACAATTCTTTCTCCAGCCCCGTTGCCTTCCAGCCTCTTCATTACGTCAACTGAGGCGGAAACTCAACCGCAGATACAAGCCTCTGTGGATGTCGGAGGCGCAGACATTGATTCCACACCTGGTGGCGGTGTTATTGAGATTGGAGGCAGTGCAGTTGTGGATGTGCTTACCGAGGAAGACAGAAGCGAAGTGATAACTACTGCGGGCGTACCAATGGGAAATCTGACCTCCAGATCGACTATTCAGCCTCAATCTTCACAGGGTCAGACAACACCAGAGACGGGATTGGTGTGGAGCACTCCTAGCGGTGCTCCAATTGTGCCAGCAGTTCCTGCTAGTACGGTGGCGGAGGTGCGTAATTTTAACTTGCTTTTAAATTAATCTTGATGGCTTAGCGCAAACAAACGTGGTTTGCTTTGAAGAATAAAGCCATGAATCTGTCATCTCATCTTTTTCTCATTTTTCCTTCCCTACAGGTGAAGACATCTTTGGTTGCTGAAGAGCCTGCACTGGAACCGGTGAAGGAGGAAGAAGAGGAGGAGGAGATGGAGGAACAGCCACGGGTTCCGCTGTCGTCGCCTCTGCAACCACCTCCATCATTGAATGCTGACGATCCCCCTTCTGCAACAAAGAGAGACTTGGAGACGTGAAGATTTTGCATTTCCTCCCATTCCTCCACACCTTGCGATTCTCCTTCTTAGTCAATTTATTCATCTCATCCACATGACGCATAAGATGTTTGCCGGCCTTGACTGGAGGTCGAATTGTGGGTGTTTGGTGTAATAAAAATTATTTTATTTATCAATCACGACTCACGCCTCGATTCGTCTGGATTAGGCAATTTGACTATTACTAACAATCCGTCCACCCATCCATCCATCTCCTGCTTCCACGCACCGAGGTTGTGTCTATCGCCCTCTCCAATCTTTCATTCGTTTTTTAATCTCTTCATCCATCTGATGCCAGTATCTCAGCACCGGCAACCTATCAGAAGATCTGGTAGCCCTAAAATTGCCACTTCTTTCCCCTTAGGTATGTTGTAGTGTATGTTTGACGGAATCAAGCACATGGGTGGCAATGAGGTTAGTTAGCAAAGTGGTCTGTGACTGCTGGAATGTCATTCTCATATTGTACCAACGGAAGTAAACCTCTATTTTGTCACAAAAACGAAGCTTATCCATAACGGAAGAAAGAGAACCAGCGGAAATGGCATTTTAGGGCACTCCCTTTGGAGGGGATTTGTTGAGGTAGAGACCTTAAGCTCAAAATCTTTACATAGGCGAGGAGTTTGCCATTTCTTGTGTTCATTTTGTGACACCTGGACACAAGAATTTCCTTGCATAACACCTCGAGAGTTTCTCTTTGTAGTAGGAAGCATTGAACATGGCTGAATAAGGACAAGAAAGGTGGAAGAGAGGCTATAGTCTAACCCAAAGGTCATTCGTCAGTTGTACAGGTGGTCGGATTAACGAAGTATTACAGAAGCCTCTTAACTTGCCCTTGATGAAGAAGGCCTTTTCGAGGCGAGAGTGAAAAAGCAGTCAGGTTTTCGACCGCATCGATAGAGGGCAGTCCTTTGGTTAGAAGAAGAGTAGACTTCCCTTCTAGATGCCAAAAAACAACCATCTTCAACACCAAACACTGTCTGTCGACTGCAAGGAGAAAGTGTTTAGTGTCACTAGGCCACACTACTTTCGCATTACCCAATTCATCTCATCACTTGGCACTTCCGCTGGCATCACTGTTGACTCCAAGCCTTTCAAGCCACACCATCATTTCTCTCACGATTGTGTAGGTGATTGAAATGTGATTGTGCCAACGTTAGTATACTGTCGATGCGATAAAGGACAAATTTGATGCAAAATGGATTCAACAAGAAGAAATTAAAAAACTGTAAGTTGATTTTCTTAAGCAATTGCAATGCTGCTACTGATGATGATGATGATGATGATGAGGATAGTATGTGGAAGAGAGGAGTAGGGGAGAGCGCAAGAGCGAAGGCGGAATTGTTAAGAAATAAATGCGAGGATGAAGAAAAGGAGAGTTTGGGGTTGTGATATCGCGTTTACGTGACTATTCGTATGACTAACCATCCCTTCGAGATTCATTTCGCTCCTGGCTGCGTGGGCTAGCACCTGAGACGGTACACCGGTGGCAGCAAAAAAACTAGTACCAACGGCGTTATAATTTCCATTCTAGCTTCCTCTGTTTGGGGCAAATTTCTGCAATGCGAATGAAGAAGAATTTTTACGGTGGAGGAGAGGGTCTCTCTGGCAAGTTATTGGCAAATACAATGGCATTACTGTGAAACATAAGAGACCAAAATTAACACCACTTTCCCATTCATGATACCATTTTAGACCAGAGTTTAAATGTTGAGCCTTAAAGATCAACATGACTTCTATTCCCTTACTCCTACTTCCAAGCTGAAATCTAGATCCACTCAAAGCTTCCGAGACTGCTAAGCTCATTCTCTAAATCTCATTAAAGCTAATGACTGCTGCGGCTGACCCGTGATGCGTAGCGTAGACGATGAGCAAGAGGAGCACCAAGATCGTGGCTCAACAGTTGATAGGGGTGGGGTGCAATTCCTTGTTTATTCTGCTGCTCGTATGAATGTTGATCGCCTTGGCATTCGTTTTGCTGTAGCCCACCAAGACCCAATCTTCACACTTTCTTGTTGAATGCACTCAATCAGCACTACTTGATACCTTCTGCCACCAAATGGGGAGGTGGATTGTCAGGGGATCTTGGATGTAGGTGATGGTAATTTTGGTAGAGGGACTGGAAGGCGAACGTAAGACATAGAGGGTAGCTCACCAAAAGAATGAGAGTAGGCGGATACGCAGGGCAAGTGTGAAGGCGAAATGGGATAAGAGTTTGTTAAAAATTTGTCGTACTAAGCAAATGGGTAGATGAAATAGTTTAAGGGAAACAGAAAAAGCTGTGCAGTAGTCAGTAGGGCATGCTCTAAGAGTGAGGAGATGGAATTAAATGAAAATTTGTAAGGAGCGACTAAGAATGAGCTAATAAATTATTATTTTTTTTCAGGATCAAATTGTTCAGCTGTGCCAATGCACAAGAAACCATCCTGATTCGCCTCCTGCAACTCATCTCGCTAAAAGCCATGTAGGAACTACCCGCCTAGCCTCATGCTCTTAAACCACGGACTTCAAGATGGGGTTAGTTACAGCAGGTTTATTAAACATTGAATACAGGAAGAACGGGGATGGGACTACAGATGAGCTGGACAGCAGATATTCCCCGCAGAGGGATTCACGTTCCAATTTGTTTCCCGTCTCTCCCTTTGTGCTGAGGGACCGCCTCGGAGTGCACGCATTTGCCAGCCCGTATTTGGCCGTCTTTTGGGAGTTCACGGGCGAAAGCGGTTATTGAACTCCATTAAGAATTAAAACTACTGGCGCTCGGAGACTGCTACGTCAATGAGACGGCACCAGTTGTTCTGCCAAGGCGGATGGACGCATGCCCCTTTTGAACTGGACCGCTATCCATGAAGAGACCCTCAGGGGACAACAGTCCTTAATGCCTGTTTGGCTAATAACTGGAGACTCCTCTCAAAGTCTTCATCACTCACTCCAGGTTTCTGGAGAGAGTAGAAAATGTATGAACCTCACAGCAACCTTCTATACCCGAGGAAAGCGCGATACACACGCCCATTGCTTCGCGACGTAGGTCGAAGGGCAAGGCGCGGAGTAGCAATGGCACTCTCCTGGCAGGATCGTATAGATCGATGGAACCCCGCTGGTCAGCACCGGAGACGGTGCTTGAAAGAGAAGGGGGCTGTGCAATATATACTAGTTTGTATAAGTGGATAGGAGGGAACCAATGGGGAACGCGAATCACGTGCGTAAAGCCGGCGAGGAGTCTCCCTTTAATTGATATCTCCTACTCGTCTCATCTGCATCCCATTTCCCATTCTTCCTATAGCAAATACCTAATAAATCATCTGCAACCAACTATCTCTTGAAGTCAGAGGTTCCAGGACCAGAGGGTAGACAGACAGCTCTTACACTTCCTTTGTAAAATAAAGCCAGTCATCGAAATCTGTGCCTTCTTTGAAGGGAGGAATTGAACCGGCCCTGCCATCAGTGTAGAGTCGCGAGACTTTCCATAGAGTGGAGGAAGGCAGTGAGTGTACTGCTTTGGTTATGTGACCACATGACGTTAGGCGGTCACTTTAGGATTTGTCTGGCCCTTGTACACGTGGGCTGGCCTTCGGGCCATGCCAGACCCATTCGCTCTGTCGTCTTTAGAATACATGTGTTCAGTTGCACTTACTGACTTCTTATACCGGCTAGGAGGTCTAGGAAAGCTAGAGCAAGTGAAGCCGGGTGCATGTATTCCGAAGATGGCAGAGCAAATGGGCCTGAGCATGGCTCGAAGGCCACCTCACGTGTACAAGGGCCAGAGCAATCCTAAAGTGACCGCCACATAAACAGGACTGGACAGAACTGGAAAATGTTTTCCCTAGAAGTTGACGACATAAAGTACGAATAAGGCAATGCAGCGGGTCCAACACGTCTCATAGTACCAGGCTCCTTGGTGCGAACATTCCTGATCGAATTGCATGAACAGGAAAATGCTTGGCACCGGAAGGAAGATGTACTGGTGGCTCTAGCAGACAGCGGATGTTTCGGATTTTTGTGGCGCATGAGTCACGTGTAACAGAAGCGGTAGCCCAACTACGGACTTTTCAGGGAAGCGAGTTGACAGTGAAAGAGGAGGGATTTGAGCACGATGCTAAATTGCCCTATCTTGATGCTAGCCTACTACGGGTGAACAAAATGTCCTCATTTGGCGATCAGTGGATGCCCATGTCTTTCTGCACATGAGTCGCCTGAGCATGGCAAGAAGGCCAGTCCACGTGTACAAGGGCCAGACCAACCCTAAAGTAAACGCCACATAAAAAATATTACAAACTATTGCCTAAAATTCAGCAAACATTCTAAATATAAAAGGGTTTGCATTGTATTTTCGATCTCTGAGCCCTTTTATTACTATTTTTTGCAATTTCTTTACATTACTAACATTTACTTTTCATTGGTCTGTTCGTTGGCGATTTCACGGTTTCGTTGCTAATATTTTTGCTGTCGGTGAGCTCTACTGTGATTGTTCATTGCGAGCTGATTTTTGCTTTTGCTGTGGGAAGTCGGCTTCGTGCGCAATATTTTAGGACTCTTACAATCCTCTGGCTAGTCCACCTTTTCCGTCTCCTCATTTCCTCCTTTCTTGAAATCTGTACATCGTTTGAGGTGTAATTTAGCTTTGATGTTTCTGCTGCTGCGTGGATTGTATGAGATCCGTCCAAGGAGTGCTATATTCCGCTTGTAAATCGCATTCTGCATGGTGATTCCTGTCGAAGGCGTCCAGAAGTATGCGCCTAATGGCGTTTACTGCTGCTGGTTTTCTCTTCATTCCCTTATTTCCTCTTTTCGGGCAATGGTCATTACCTTAAAATCATTTCCTTCGCTCCTTATGAACGAATTATTTAGTAGGTGTTTAGGGAGAGTAGGGGGTACGGTCGACACGGTAGTATTAGTCAGCATAAGACAAGTGAATCAGTAGCAAGTCTTGCAATAAAGTGATGCCACACTTCCGCGAGTCCCAGTCCTTCCATTTTAAGGATTGCAGCTAACTTGTTGCGAAAGGATAAGTTACTCTTTCTTAATTGCCACTTCGTCACCAGCACCAAATAGGTATCTCCTCCTCTATCTCTATGGTACCAGCTTACCACCGATGATGGTCGATCTCACCTTGATCCAACTCCTCATCAAAATGATATCACTAATTTAAGTTATTGCCGTCATTCTAGTGATGGAAACTGTAATGCTTTGGTTATGCGACTATCTGACGTTTGGTGGTGACTTTAGGACTTGTCTGGGCCCTGTACACGTTGGCTGGCCTTCTGGCCACACTCAGGTCCCATTTCTCCTATTGCTTTCGGAATACGTGTATTTAATCGCACTTATGCCTTCTACTACCCCATTGTAAGCCTCGGGACGCTGCACTGGTGGCAGCGGAAAGCGAACCAGGGGAGAAATCCAAGGTTAAGAAGCGTATTCTGGCAATCATGAGCTATACATGCGTAGAAGGAAGTCTGACTCTATCTATCGAAGTGCAGTAGATAAAGGTACAGGCGAAAACGGGACGTGAACTGAAGGGGGCGCATTTACCTTGAAGCGGAGGATCCGTGGACCCTTCACAACAAAAGGATTGAGACTGACGTCTGCATTTGGTTTCATCTTAATCCCGTGTTCCACAGACAAGCTATTAACAACTGAAGCGACACCGTCGTGAAATATCTGGAAAAGTGTCGGAAATGACACAACGGATCTCGCATACGGGACAGTGGCCCGTCCCCTTATCCCTGTA